AAGAATAAACTTCTAAATTATTATTATTATTATTATATAATAAATAATTATAATTAAGAAAAGTTATACATATACATATAATTATCCCCAAAATAAAATTATTTAATTGTTTGAACATGAATAGAAAATAAAGATGATTGATTAATAAATATTGACTAATAAATATATTGATTATTGATTATTAAATTAAAAATATCAAATATAAATTTCTGATAAGATTTGGTTTTGTGATAATGATATAAATTGAAGTAGTGAGAATATAAAACTAAAATTTATATTAATATATTCATTCTTTTCTCTTATAATATTATTTATATTAGAAGTTATTTATAAAAAAAAAAAAAACATAATAATTAACTTTAATATTAAATAATTTACATAATTAATTGACTTATTATTAGAATAAATTTACCTATTCAAACAAAATCTAATTAATTATGAAATTAATAAAAAAGAAAACGATAATAATATATAAATATATTTTATTAAAAATATTATATATTTAATATTTTTAATCAGACTTCTATAAATTATAATTAAAAATGACCTTTTTTTTTCTAAATAATTGTAAATAATAATTTAATAATTAATTATTAATATTAAAAAAAGAAAAAAAAATTACTAAATTATATTTATTTATATAAAAATTTAAAAATTTAATTATATATAATAAATAATAGTAGTAAATAATTAAAATGTGTTTATATAATTATGAGATCAAAAACAGAAAAAAAAAAGTTATAACTGTAAATTAAATATCTCCTGTTTGTTATACCATAAACACTAATTTATGCTACTATAAAACGGAACATATCCTTTTACTTATAAATATACCCAGAAATATAATTGAATATCAATCATGGATCTATATGAATAGTAATAATAAATTATTCAACATTATCAATAAGAATATATATTTACTTCTCTTACCTTTATATGATTGCCTTTATTGATATATTTAACTATTAGCTGCTTGTAAATTTCTTACTAGATCTTCTTTACTAGAAATTCTCCTTCTTAAATTTTCTTGGTATTCCATAGCCATTTTTATACGTTGTAATAACCTCTTACAAAAATCTTCTATTGTTTGGGGAAGATGTAACCCCTCACATTCAGCCCTCCATATTTCCGTTTTTCTATCTAGTAAAAGACTAACTTTACTAAATTGACCGTATAATAATTCAAGTTCTAGTTTGTGTTGTGAGATGGGGTCATCATTTCCATTAGGATTTTGATTGGCAGCTGTTAATTTTAAAAAAGAATTCCTTTGAATAACTATAGATATTCTCAATATATTTATATTGTATAGAAAATGAAAAAAAGAAAATACTAATAGGAAACAAGATGTTGATCTCATAGACTGCTACAATAATAGTAGATATAATTATGTAAGGAAAAAGTTAATCCTTATTTAAAAATATTTCCATTTAATGACAAATTCAATGAGAATATTAATATCAAATTAGATAGATAATAGACTCAGACACAATAATTGTAATAATCTGTTGAGTATAATTAATTTCACATGTATTTTGGATTTTTTTTGAATTTTTGTTAACAATTGAATAGATAATATTAATTTTAATTGTATAAATTCAATAATTTACTATAATAATACCTTCTATTTACTTTAAAATAATTATAAATTATCTGGTAGAACTATAAGATTTATTCAATCTAATTTTTCTTTTCTTTCTTATATTTGTAATTGTTTAGATTTTTATTTTATTCTATTTGGTTAAATATTAATAGTGATGTTGAATTTAGGATTTAATAATAGTAAAAAATATTAGGGTCAATAATGAATTGGGATTGATCTGGGATGATTATATATAATATTAGATAAATTTCAAATATAATCATATTTATTTAATATAATTTAATTAAATATTAATATTGATTAATATCTAGGTTATAATAAATAAATAAAATATGAATAATGTATTAACTTAGATTATGTGAAATTATTATTTGTTAATTATATAATTGGATTACTTTGTTGGCCAAAATGATTTGATTTATATTTATTTAATAATATATCTTGTAGAATTGAATTATATATGAATTAAAATAAATGAAAGATTTGATAATACATATAGATATATTTAAATTTGGATTTGGATTTTTATAAAAAAAAAGTTTAATAATCACGATTTATTTTTAATATTACCCATTATATATTAGGATAAATTAAATTATTTAATTTTAAACTTAGTTGATTAAATAATAACTATTATAAAATTAGAATTATACTCAAGATAAAACTACTTTTAAATATAATTTTGGTAATAAAATATTGAAATAATAAAAATGAATATTAATATTTATTTTAAATAATATAATCAAGTGATTTATAAATATGTAGTCCTTCAGAAATGTAATTAGTATTTATAATATATATTATCTATACTAAAAAATATTTAATAAGATCTTTCACTAGAAAAATTTAATACATTTACAACATAAACTTGTTTATTGACTTATGTACGATTCGGAATTACTACAAAATATAGTAAGCAATCTTCACAATCTAGTATCGTAACTAGAACCTAAAAAAGATTCCTGTAATTCCTTTAATTGACTCTTTAACTGCTCTAGCTCAGCTCTAATTTTACTAATTTCTTCTTTAGTCTTTTTACATCTCTTTCTTAAATTACGACCATTATAGTCTTCTGTACAATTACCAGACCAAAATAACAGATAACCCCTAAGTTGCTCTTCTAATTCCTTAATCTTTTCTTTTAAATCCTTTATTTTAAGGAGCATTAGTCTAGGTTCATTACTTCCAGCTCTTAATCTGATAAATGAAGTAAACTTTTGGTTAAAATATCTAGGAGAGATATCATTATCAGACAATGTAATAAAACAAGCACAAAAAACAAATATTAAAATATTTACTAATAACTTCCTCATTTTAAAATTTGTGACTAAAAATTGTTATGAATTATTAATTGATCACTGGGACTAGACTTATGCATCTAAGTAATAGATCAAAGAATCTAATATTTTAAGTGGATAAACAATTTTAGATATCTCATTGATTATATCATAATTTATTTAATATATTTGTTCTTATTATTTATATATTTAATTTTAAGATCTAGATCTTTAAATGATCAAATAAAAATATAATTAGTATTTAGGAATTTTAAAGTGGTTATAATTGG